CCCCTCGGTCTTCGACAAAGTTGTTCTGCATAGTATCCCCAATCTATTTTGAGCAAATGAATAGGTTCGTTTCGTTTCCCATACATTTTCCCATACAGAATTTAAAATTCTTCCGCAAATCCAGATCATAACGAAATTCGTTCATATTTGGCACCAGTCCCTAACAACTTCAATATACATCAGAAGAGCAGTGGAGAACAGTGGGTTGTGATCCACCATACAAACTTGACCCACCCTAATATCCATCCTTAAGCTATGTATCATAATGTAATTTTGACATACCCTCCTTTTTTGTTATTTTAGGGTATAGCCGTGACTCAATCAAGTGAATATAATAGAATAAAGACGGTTTTGGCAGTTTTCTTAGTAGAAGCACAGATGCACAGCTTAGCAACACTCTTATCGTTTTCTCCGGTGGATGAGTAGGTATGTGCACGATCTTGATTGCCATATGTGTCGTTAGTCGAGCGAGGGTGTAGGTAACACATAATACGGTCAATTTCGGAGATCGTTGCGCTTTCACAAAAGTTAATGAAGCACATTTTGTCCAATTGGAACGAATGACATAGTGATGCTGCTATCTTATCAAGGTCAACAAGAGGTGACTCTCTTGCTCTCAATCAAATTGCCAGTGAACTAAGCCATTTTCAAGAATATTGAAATGCGCGGGGAAGTTGAAACGAAGGGTGTATGTATTAGTGGAAGTGTATTATCATAGTGATTATTTTGAATCACAGCGAATATCCACTTCGGCTTATAGGTACACTATCCGTTTCAACATCCTCGCGCCTTTCAACTTGCCCCGGTGTACCTTAGTATTTCGTAAAGCCTCGGCGATCGACTATTTAGGGATACATTACGAAAAGTGGTCAGGTTTTGACCACATATAACTCTATCAATAGCGGATGGATTTTAAATCTAATCAAGCCAATCGATTAGAAATTTTGCTACAAATCTGCTAAATTAAACACTTTATTAATTTTCAACACTACTGAAATATAAACAAATGTTCAACTGTTGCAATAGTGATCAAAATTATCACCGATTGTGTGCAAACAGCGCATTCCCTAACACAGATTTCAAAATCGAATTCGATCCTGTCTCCTTGAAGGGTGCTTATTCAATCACCGTGTGTGGTGGTGTTCAGTCGGTCGTCAGCAGCAGCAGCAGCAGTGCTTTCGGCGCGTGGCGTTGAACAAGCAAGCAGCGAGCTGCAGCCAGCCCACATGAGCGTCCATTAACCGAAGAAGGAGGAAGAAGCCTCACCGCTACTGATCGGGATCCATCTTCGTGAGCCGCTGTGGGCCATCTATGCCAAGTGCGTCACCCTCGTTCCAAACAACATAAAGCTCGTCAGCTTCATCCGTATTGAACACCCTAATATTTCAGCATTACTCAACCATCACGACAAAGCGGTGCTTTTCAGGACCACCACCAATTATTGTTGTTTAAGAGTTAATTTTCATTCAACGTTCGCTTGCCTCGCTGTCAGGCACATCACACCCAAAGCTCTTTGATAATGTACCCAGGAACCAAACGTTTGTGGTCAAATGCGTCAAGTATTGAAGTAGTACATAAAAATTCTCGCAATGACCGAATCACCGACAAACTGACATGAATGATCATACAAAGTATCATCAAATTTCTGATCAAAGCACACAACTGACATCTGCCGTCGTGTTTGCGATACACATTTTATCCTAGCCACGAACACACATACTAAATGTATGAGTTGGTTCGTGTCTAATCTATTCCGGGCAAATTATTTTTATCTAGAAAAGTGGTTTCTCTAACACAGTCGCCGAATATTGATACCAAGCACTGAGCATGCCAGATCGTACCTACAACCGGTGGAAACTAACGATTTTAAATTGGCTCACTACTTGACTGGCCTATTGGTCCCAAGCAAATCGATTAACGTACCCCATTCCAGTCTAAATTCTAGTCATACACATGAGGGGTTCGTTAATTTTCGTATGTTTCGAGGGGTGCATCGATTAGCTTGGGACCGAAGAGAGTACCAGAGCTGAGCCAAAAAGTTGAGCACGTTTCTTCGGGACCTTCTGGTCTAAGAGTTACCTCTATGGTACCTATCTGTATGCCCTTTAATGCAAATTTTAAGCCCCTCCTATTAAGAGAATTATGCCAAAAAAATTTGCATCAAAAAGTATGTTAGCGTCCGGTAGGCTCAGATCCTGTGATTGATGTGTTTTCCCTAATACATATTTCATTTCCGCACCACTATCATCTCCAAGAACATCGAGGACAAATTTCCACAGCATTGTTCTAAACTGCCATCCAAGCAAATGACTGATAAAAGAGTTAACTAAAGAGTAGGAGCTTGTATCTAAGACATATTTTGCTTGTACTACATGGACATCGACAGAGCACCTCAAAAACATAACGCTCAATTGCTTCCGAAATTCATAACCTATCGAACTTTTTCACTGATAATGAGGTAAGAAATCAATTTAATATTTATTTACTATTCTTTTGCTGCGACATCAAAACTACCTTTCGTAATCCTACGTCAAATCTACGGTCGTGTCTTGGATACAACCTCATACTTTTTTTTCTATGCTTGATCGGGTAGTTTCTTCTGACTGACATTGGCCAATTCTAACGATTTATCTTAAAAGCTCCTTCCAAGTTCCCCCAGGTCCGGGAATGTCTGCCGACTGCATCTAGAAGTTTCTCTAAACTTTTTCTGAATCCTTTAATTTTGTCGAACCTCTTAACGGAATCCCTTTATGAAGAGCTTTGAGTGGGTTGGTTTATTTCCTTTAAATTCCGTTATAATTGCTTATCTTTTGACAGATACGCGTATTTCGTCTAATACTTGCAGACTTCATCAGTACCAAGTGGTGTTGAGTACTTGGCACTGATGAAGTCAGCAAGTAGTAGACGAAATACGCGTATCTGTCAAAAGATAAGCAATTATAACGGAATTTAAAGGAAATAAACCAACACACTCAAAGTTCTTCATTTTTCTGAATGATTCTTCCGACTTTCCTTGAAAATTTCTTCCACCTGGAATGTCGGGAGTCTGCAAGCTTCCTCTGGAAGTTTCTTCTAACTTTTACCGGAAGTTTTTTTTTACTGCTCTGGAAGGCCTTTCCGGTCAGCATACATTCGTCAAAAGTGGATTTACTCGAAAGTGAGTTGAATTTTCCGGGCTTTTCCAGGATCAACTTCGTGAATGTTAGGAAAATCCAAGCGTGGCGACTTTATCTACGCTGCGGGAAAAATGTGTTTTGCTGTGGTTAGCTGCGCGCACGTTGAGTATATAGAAAGAAGATTGATGACGATTCTGAAGATTTCCTGCAAAAATATGATGCGCGATGCAAGTATCTAAATGCGAAAAATGAAAGAAGATTTTTCAAAGATTGATTCACTAGTGTGAGATTTTTTAAGCATCTAAAATTGATAATCGATAGAGGTTTCACTCAGTATTATTCACTATTAGTATACTCTCTAGACTAAGTAAAATGTGTATAGATGTTCCTCATATTAGTGAAGTTTGTCCTGGATTTCCACGACTTAATGATTTTCCTTATTAGAGAGTTGTATAGATTTTTCTCCTTTAGTTTACTTAAATCTTTGGTTTTTATTAGTAAGGTAGGTTCCGATTCAACACATTGTAGTTTCATTTTTATACCTGTGATCTTGAATTTTATACCTAGGGGATGAGTACTTAAGGGGGTTAGATTTTGATAAGATCTTTAGTGGGAATGACACTGATGAAGACTGCACATTGTAGTCGAAATACGTATCTGTCATGGATACCAAAATTTATTAAGTGGAATTAAATGGAAGATAACCTTTTTTTGCTGTTTTATTTAAGCATTCCGCTAACAACCCGATTTCATTACTTCAAAAATAACTAGGAATTTGGTATGACTGATATAGGATAATGGATATGATCTATTAGCCCATTGAAACGCTTGAGTATGTTACTGTATATTTTTATTATTTCTTTATTCTTTTTTTTTTTCAATATGCAATTAACTTATTATCATAGAATGTTAGTAAGTTTCTGTCTGTGATTAAAAAAGATATCCATATTATAACCAGAACTTTTGCATCGCGGGATGACACACTATCTTTACCAATAAGGATAATAAATGTTTCCTCAGTTGAAATGTAAAACGCTACTAGATAACATCATGACAATTAATCACTTACATACTAAAAAAGGTTTTTGAATGCGTAATTTAAATCATCTTTGTTTAAAATTATATATCAGCTAAAACAACGTAATAAAGCTTCACATTTTGGAAGAAGTAAAAACAAGTATCTTGGCTATAGTAAAACAAGTGAGTCACATAATACCTTTTTTTCTACGGGAGCCATCCTCGTGGCATCTCAGAGTAAGATTGCTATTTTTGTATCGCATTGGCGGCGTATGAATGAAATAAAGGATAATTGATAAACAAAATCAACCAACTTTCGATCAAACAGAAACACATTTATCACATGTCACCTGCTAGTAACGTATGCAGCTCTCCATTCTAATGTCACAATCAAATCCGGTTAGCAGTTTTTTTTTATTCAAACACGGTTAAATCATTAGCAAAGATTTCTATTTTGTTTCATTTTTGTATGGCGTTTGGCTATGCCAAAGAGTGATGGAACTGATTTTCGATCAATTTTCCTATTTACTCCTCCGGTGTGTCTGCAACGACGTGTGTATGGCACAATTATTATTGTAAATATAGTAAATTCTGTTTACTTCTGTATTCGTATCTTCTGTTACTATAGTTTGGTTGAAGTTCCAACACTTTCAAGGGGTTTCGATCAGTTTGTCTTTTTCTTTTTAGGTTTTTGATAAATTTGTGTTTTAAAGGTAGTTGCATGTGTGGGTGTGTGTCTTTCAACTATAGTGTTGCCTAAACTAGATAAAGATTTTTTTGCTTATTTAATCTTTCACAAGGATTAATTGAACTTTTAGTTTTGTATTACATTTGTGAAGTGTGGTGGTTTATTTTTAGATGTGTACGTTTTTCTCCTTTATTTAACAGTATATTGTATCTTTGTTGCTCTTTCTATTGACGTAAGTCTAATTAAAGCGACAGAGCGGTTGTACATCCAAAAGCTTCAATAATAATGATTGAACAGTGCGTGGACTTTGTTGTGTTTTTACAAAAATTTCGACAGATTATACTACTACATTATGTGAGTGTATCCATGGATTCCTGCTAGGAATCCACGGATTTCGGGATAGTCATTGATTTTAATACTGTTAAAACTTCATCTAGCCATAATTTAAATATTCCCAAAATATGCATTTACTTTCGCCACAGTTAGTGTCAGTCACGGATTGTTCAAACCGGATGTAATTATTAATTTATTAAATCTGAACTAATCAATTCTAAAAAAACGTAAAATTTATTCTACACACTTCCATAAAATTGCTGTAAACATAATAAAAATATAAACAAGTGTGGAGGACCTTGAACAAAACAGCACACCTTTTTACGGAAATCCCGCACAACTTTTGTCTATGATTCTGATATTTCTCATACTTGTTAAGTTTTTAAAATGACTTGATCGAACAAATACTTTCTTCTGCCAATTTTGGAAGCATAAGATTACTAACCACACACTTGTCTTCCTTCTACGTAGTCGACGACATCTCGTACCATCTTTCGGAAGAAAAATAGAAACAACATCCCAAAAAGAGCTACGAGCCGCGCCAGATTCTCACATGCGCCATTAAATCGATACATCTAAGAAACACATACTTTCACAAAATAGACGCTGGCTGCTGCAGCCACACAAACACACCCCAACAAAAACGACCATTCCGGAAATGCTACCAAAATTACGAATGATTCGTCTTGTCCTTTCTTCGTCTCGCCAGATCGGACATTCCAACGGGGCCCAGATTGGCTGCCTGGGGAGAAGAAATCGCCCGAAACGTAGCATGTACGGCTCCTTTGATTGCTTCCGTATTTTCCGGTGAACCACCGATGTAATCTCCCGATGGTACAACCGTTAATGTCGGTGCCGTCCCAAACACGGTTTGTTGCGCCTGGCTCTGTATTCCACTTGTTTGACTGTAAAATAACCGTGAACGAGAAAGCCATGGATGTCGCAGAATCTGCGCTGCCGTCGGTCTCCGATGTGGAACAATGTGCAACATTTCACGCAAGAGGTCTTTAACCTCCTGCGATATGCCAGGCCATTTCTGAAAAAAAAAAACGGAATGGATAAATTTCGGTAAAAATTACTTTACTTCAGCTTGTCTTACTCCAGTTTCCAAATCCACCCTACCGGAACCTATCCTCGCTAGAATCATGTCCGGTGAATCGTTTGGCGTACTGGCAAACGGTGTCTTTCCATCCAGCATAATGTAGAGCAGAACCCCGAGAGACCAGATATCACAAGCCAAGTCATAACCTTGCTTCTTCAGCACTTCGGGTGCAACAAAGTTTGCCGTGTAGCACGGTGTCATCAGCAACCCATTGTCCGCTCGCAGCTGTTTGGCAAAACCTAAATCGCAAAGCTTTAACGATTCGGGTGTGTGATTGGCCGTGGCGTACAGCAGATTAGACGGTTTAAGGTCCCGATGAACTACGCCGTGCTCGTGCAGGTAAGCCACCGCCGACACAACCGTCTTCAAAACCGCACTCGCCTCCACCTCGGTCATGTACTGGATGGCGAGAATTCGATCCAACAATTCTCCTCCTTTCAACAACTCCATCACCAAATAGACGTACGAGGTATCCTCGTGCACACCGTACAGAGAGACTATGTTCGGATGATTACCGTATCGCAGAAGAATTTCCACTTCCTCTCTACAGTCATGGCTGGATTTGTCGATTATCTGTTACAGAATATCAAATAGATCATTTTTAAAACTAAGACAGACACCCGGCACAAGCCAACCTACCTTAGCTGCGTAATGTTTCTTCGTAGTTCGATTCTCACAGAGCCTACAGATCGAAAACGTTCCCCGGCCCAATTCCTGTATCAACGTGTACTCATCACCGAAAGCGCCCGGTTTGACGCCAGGAATTTCGTTAGAAAACGGAGACCTCGACGCCGGCTGTTGATTCATCAAACTACCGGTACCGTTGGCGAAATTCGGTGTATCATCACCCAGCAAGCCCGGCGCTATAAAGCTGAATCCACGGAAAATCTCATGAGCACTGGCACTAACCGGACCACCCGGTGAATCTCTGAAAAAAATCCTTTTTTTTTTAATCCCATCTTCATCAGCCCGTCCGCAATTTTCTAAACTCACTTTGGCGACTTGTTCGTGTACTCCGAATCGAAATAGAACGCATCATCACGGGAAACGGCTGGAATGAATGGTGGCCGTACTTCCTTCCGCTCGAACGCGTCCCAATCAACGTTGGTGAAGAATTCGTGCTTCTTGATGTCCTCGATCCCGTTCACACCCACCCCTAACCGATTCTGGGGGTTCCGTTTGAACAATGCCCGCAGCAAGCTTTGCGCCTCCGGACTCAGGTTTTCCGGCATGCCCAGTTTCGTTTTCAGAATCTGATTCATCGTGTCGTTCCGGTTGCTACCGTGGAAGGGCAGGTTTCCGGTCAGCATTTCGAACTGGAATGGTGGAATACGATTTGGAATTAGCGATAAATTGTAGTTGTAGTATATGCTTACCATAAGAACTCCGAAGGACCACCAATCGGCAGCGAATGTGTGGCCCTTCCGGTTTACCACTTCCGGGGCCATGTATTCAACCGTACCGCAAAAACTGTACGTTTTGGAACCATCCAGCGGCTGTTTCGACAGTCCAAAATCTGTCAAAGCTATGTGACCGTCCTGGGAATAAAAGTAAAAAGATGATCTTAGAAAAAAAAAATAGGCAAAACTGCAAAGCTGTTTCAAATTGTGAAAACGACAAAAACTATGAACATTCAGCCAAGAGTAGCATTGAAAATACAGTACATTCCCGATTTTGTCAGCCCCATCTGAAATCTCAGGCTGACAAAAACGGGAAATTTTCTTTTTCAATATTTTAGGTTAGGTTACACACTTAGAAATTTTTACAGAAATCTGTAAACTTTTACCGAAATCTCAAAAGCTGAACGTTCGGTAAACAGTTTCGCAGATTTCCTGTAATTTTTCACAAATATCTGTGAATTTTTCACAGATATCTGTAAATAATTACAGGAAAACTGTAAAATTGTTTACCGAACGTTCAGCTGTTGAGATTTCGGTAAAATTTCACAGAAATCTGTAAAATAATCTTAGTGTGTAGGTTATCTTTATTAGCGAGACTTTCAGCCAGAGGCTGGTTCATCTCTTGACGAATATTGGGGAATCCAGAAGGGGTCCCCTCTAGTGACAGAGTTTTGCAATATTTTACCCACACACTTAGAAATACCTAACCTTACACGTGACGGAATCCATATTTGACATAAAGGATGAGACGTAAACAAACATACTATGTAAAATTAAGTGCTCCGAGACTGAAAAGTTTGAAATTACGTTCGATTGAGCTGAATTTCACGTCTATCATGACTCAATTTTATGTCAAAATTGACGCTCGTATATGTCAGTCTCAGAGCACCTACATTCACATAAATTTTTCTAAGTGTGCATCAAAATGATTTTAAAATCAAGTTTAACCATTATTTATCCTCTATTAATGGAATTACTGATAAATGTTTACTATTCTTACATCAAATGGTACACCAAACGTTTCGAAAAGTAAGCGTACGGTTTGTTGAGCTGGTATGTACTGTTCGGTTTCCCTAAATTTTGCTTGGTTTCCAGCGCTGCAACCAAGGCTGAACCTCCATATCTCAGTATCAACGTAGATAAACCAGCCAGGAGCCGTCTCTTGCTACTGCTTGGTCCCAAGATGTTCGGTATGATTCTGGTTACCGCGTTGATGGCCTTCGCCGCCTTCTCGTACGCGTATTCTACGTGGTTTATTAAGGCCAAACGTTCGTCGATCATGACCCCCAGTCATTTCAACACGCAGATCTAGTTTATGGCGTGCTCCCCAACGGTGATTTCTGACCGCTGCAGCGCTTTAAAGTTACTGATCAAATACCACTTCGCTTTTTTTGTGGGCTATCTGCAGCTTCGCTCCATGCATCCTGTTTCCAATCATGTCGACCACCTCAGTCGCCAACATTTCTATCTATTCCAGCGTCTTGCATGCATGTTACCGTAAGACGACGTCGTCCGCAAAGCCGGCGATCTCAACTCGTTTGGGCAGCTTTAGCGTTGGACCGCCGTTTTAAATCACGTTTCAAAGCGTTGGACCAAGGATGGAGCCTTGTGGAATTCCCACCGTTATCCTAATCGATCTCTGTTCCATATTTGTCTCGTAGATCAGACAAATACAAAAACAAATATCAGATAGACGGCCTCCCAAACGGCGCTGTTGAACGCATTCTTGGCGTCGATCGTTATCACGGCGTAATATCGATCTCCTCTCCACTTCTGTTTCGACGCCTTCTCGGCTCTCTCGACAACTGTTCGAATTGCATCCACTTTTGCTCTTCCTTTTCGAAATCCGAACTGCCTCTCCGACAATCCGTGCTCACTTTCCGTGCATTTCGTCAGCCTGTTCAAGAGTTTTCCGAGTGTATCCAGCAGGTACTGCTACGAGTTGCTCGTTGGTGACTTCATCGTTATCTCCCTCTCCGTCTCCGTACGATGTAGGTGGCCAGGTCGTTGGATCGTGCTTCGAGAAAAGTCCTTCCACGATTACATCCAGGTTCTCCAAGCTCATTTCAGCGAGCATGACTTCGCCATCACGACGCGGTGTGCAGCAGCGTCTCGACCCATCTCCTTGAAACAGTCTGACTTGCTCTGCTTTATCTCTCGTTTATGTGCGTTTCTCTCTGTCTGCTTCTGTTCTTGCTCACTGAACACGTCTTCTGGCTCTGAGACAACTAGCGTGGAGGGTGCTAATTGGCTCGTTGCACCAGTAAGCTGGAGGGCGTCTGTTATTTAGCTCCAGTTTCCTCGGCATGGTCATGTCACATGCTCTCCCTAACGATTCTGTCAACTCGTCTTCCACTTCAGGTCACAAGTTCTCGTCCTCTGTACTGCCACAGGATTCCGTTGGTCGATGCCATATCGGATTGCCTGATGGTCACTATGGGTATATCCTTCGCACACTCTCCAATTCATGTTTTCCACCAGCGACGGACTGCAGTCCGCATAAAGTGACGTCAATAATGGATTCCCAGTCATCTCTGCGAAAAGTGCTGGTGGTGTCTTTATTGAACAGCCTGATTTCCAGCTCCGCCAGAGCTTCCAGCAGAATGTGCCCTCTTTCGTTGGACATCTGTTTCCCCACTCCACTACATAAGCATTGTAGTCTCCTCCGATGACTACCGGTCTTCGTTCGATCAGCTCTCCGGTAAGTCCAACCAGCGTCTCGTGGAACTGCTCCATCGTCCATCGGGTGCGTAGCAACTGCATATGAATATTCCGTAAATTTTGGCGATCACGGAACCTTCTTCTTCAATGGAGTATCTGCCCATAACTTGTATTGCAGCCTTTCCAGTTCTATCCGCCATCTAGTTACCGTTATCGGGAGGGACTCGATACAGGTGTGCAGTGTCGTAATAATTAAGGATTATTTGAGCTACCTCTGTTACTGTTGCGACAAAACAATTAAGTGTCATTTAGAGCGAAATGCTTGAGAATTCATGCTTAAAAACCAAAAGTTCTGCAAAATCTTCAGGCTGACAAAATCAGGGGTAGACAAAATCGGGAGCTGACTCGATATTGAAGGGAGTTCGTCCATAATTATAAGAAATTTTATAAACATTTCATCTGCTGTAATATCCAATCAAATTACACAAAGTTAATCATCCAAAAAATGTTTCATAAATCCATTTATGGAAGGTCTATAAGTGGTTGATTCGGAATATTCGGCCAATATGAACAAACGCAGAAAATAAGATCAATTATTGATTATTATTTTTACGTCATTATGAAACGTTTTGGTTCATGTTAGATTTTGGCCATTTACCACAATGTCGCCCGTCCCAATGCTGGATATGACTGCAGTTGTGATTGACATTCAATTAAATCGCAACTGATTGAATTATATCTCATGAAAATTGATCTATCACATAACGGATGTTGCTTCTAGTCGGTTTTGATCACTTTTCTGAATGTATCTGGAACATGTCTACATATGGCACTATTCCCTGAGCACTCAAAAAAGTGGTTTGATTTGTTTCATGCTAGGTTCTGTTGTGATTCACAGTTATGGACAATTGCCCCGAGGACATACGGAACATTATTGGATGTGGCCCGGGTAGAGGATGACGGTTCCCGAAATTTTATGAATCGCGGGATTCGGGAATACAACATAAGGCTTTTCCGGGAGTTCCAGTGAATCGGGAATTCCCGATTGAAGTAGTGCAAACTAAAAAAAACGATTTAATTTAATTTTTATTTTATCGCGTATCATATTGTCCTCGATCAAAACGCTTCCAGCGAGAATTGAAATTTCCTGCGACGCAATTTGTTTCTAGAACATTCCATGCAAAGAAGAAGAAGAATATTTTTTCCTTACGACGGCGCGTGTGTTTGGTGTTTGGTCGGGTCGCGAGTGTGTATATATACCGGGCCGGTTCACGAGTACCGCTTATATTAGTAAACCAGTAGTCTACAAATGACATTAAAACCAGAAGCAGTAACAGAAGAAACCGGAAGCTGTAGAATAGCTGTATCCAGCGGTGCTGTATTCAGGAGCAGCACTTTCCAGTAGAGAGACAATAAATCAAAGTAGAGCAGCAACGAACTTATTTCACTAGTCCACATCCTGGTCAGCCGTGTCCTTCATCGGTTCCGTGGTAGTTGTGTCACAAACGGCCCTTTTCATGGCTCCAGATCTTTCTTCTTTCGTGATGCACATTACCCTCGGGCCATTACTACACTGTTGGCATTCCGATCCAGTCCACACCTGATTGCATTGTGTTCATGGCCGAACATAAATTGGTCCTTCGAACCGGATACGAAACTGTTGCGAAAAAGTATACGGCGACAGCGCGTAGGACAGCAGTGATTGACAACGTAATCATCACTTGGTGAGTAGAAGTGAACATTTTGCTGCGTAGAAGCGCTCACTGGCAGCGTGTGTGCGAAGACAAGTATGCCATTGTATTAGGCATCCGATTGAACAGTATCCACCATCGCATAGTGTATGTATCCGTCACCTCGGTTCGTAGTATCCTTCCGTGGCGACAAACGCGTCGGTTCGTGTGCTTCCATATCCGTGTGAGTTGGTGTACATATTCCTTCGTCGTGACACCTTGAGACAGTGTGTTCGGGTTTAATTGTAGCGGATTATCTGAGAACGTTATCCACCGTCGTGACAAACCTGGAATATCATTCCGTCGGGTAACAGTGATTTTAGTTCGTAACATTGTGCTACCCCACCCACCAACCAAGAAGATGGGCATCCAGGAAGAATTGAAGTTGCTGATCCACAAGCGAGGCCATGTGAAGGCTAAGCTGACACGGATTAACAACGCGTTAGCGGCAGCAAAGGAGAGCAGGGAAAGGCCATCTTTACCGCAACTCCGAGTTAATGCCAAGAACCTAGCAGTAATTTACAAGGAATACAACGATAATCACGATATGGTCATCGCATCCGTATCCGAAGATAGTGTCAAGGCCCAGGAAGACAATTATGAAGAGTTCGAGAACCTCTATCATGATCGAGACGTTTATCGATGTCATTGAGAAGGAGAACCGAGTGAATGCAGCCATTCCCATGCCGTCACCAACGTTTGATGGACGGTACGAAGCAGATTCAAGGCTATGTTTCAGGATCTAATGCGTCATTCCACGGATTCTGATGCAGTGAAACTTTATCATCTGGAGAATTCCTTGAAGGGTATTGTAGTTGATGCCATCGACCTGGAAACTTTGCAGAACAATAACTACCAACGTACCTGTGATACCCTGGAGGTTAGATTTGGCAACCAACGCCTGATCCTAGAATCGCATATTCTAGGCCTCCTGAATCTGAAAAAGATGACGAAAAAGTCTTCGAATGACCTCCGGAACCTCGTCGATGAGTGTTCCCGCCATGTTGAGAATCTAGTTAAGCTCAACCAACAGCTTACTGGGATGTCCGAGGCATGGCAGGCCACAACAAAGACATATTTCTAAAGCCCTTTTCCTGCGAATAGCAGCCCGTCTACGTAATCCAACAACACTATCGAGTAGGAGAGAATATCGTACATGTATCAATTTGTAGTCACAGTTTATTAACCCATGAAAAGAAACGATTAGCGTAGAACGATCGATTAACGTGAGTAATAATCAATTATATGAACAACATCATCAAATTTATCGATGTTTAGTTTTGAAAATCGGATTTGGGGAGCAAACTAAGTTTTAACATTTTTTTTATAGATCGTCCTAAAAAGAAACAGACTTCTTGCAATGGTGTAAAATATAATGCAGTACGAAATCTGCCTATTCAAAAACACTCCGAAATGAAAAAAACACCCTTACCTGATCCAGCAGAATATTCTCCGGCTTCAGATCCCGGTAAATGATGCCCAGGCTGTGCAGGTGGTTGAGCGCGAGTGCCAGCTCGGCCAGGTAAAACTTGACGTCCTCCTCGGTAAACATTACCTCTTTGCTGAGCCGCGTAAATAAGTCACCTCCCCTCAGGAAGTCCAGTATCAGATACAGCTTGCCCGGCGTCTGGAAGGCATAGTGAAGCTTAACGATAAATGCGTTCCCCACGTCGGCCAGGATGTTGCGCTCGTTTGTGCTCCGAACCCGATCCTTCACCTTCAGTGTGGCCTTTTTTAATACCTACAAAGATAGACAATCGAACGAGACGAGTGGGTGTGAGAGAAAATAGTCGGAAAATACCGCGTGGGAGCTAGAGAATTTTCCGCTCGTGTCGTGTTGCTAAAATTGAATAAATTAACTCACTTTCATTGCATATAGCGTGCCGGCATCCTTGCCGACAATTTTTCTAACTAGAAATACTTTCCCGAACGAGCCTTCGCCGAGCACCTTGAGCAATTCAAACTGCGATGGGTCAGCTTTGTCGTGACCTTCGGGCACCACATCCCGGATGTCGAACTCCTGCTCGTCGTTCGATTTCAACGTACCATCAGCCGGATCAAGGTCCATCGCTTCGACGTCCAGCCCTGCGGTGCCGGTTGGCTCGCCGTACGGCTGGGGGTGATGATGTGGGTGGCTGTGGTGATGGTGGTGGTGACGATGCTGTTGCTGCCCGCCCGGATCGAGCTGGGGCGCCTGCTGACCGAGCAGCGCATCGTAACCTTCATCGACGACCATCTCGACATTGTCCTGGGACGATGACTGTGGGGCAAAAACAGAGCAGGAGAGGAAAGAAAACAATGCGGTCAGTGAAAGTGGGCTCTAGCCTCGGGTAATGATGGCATATGATACATTGACGGGGGATGATTTGCATTTGCAGAGTTGGTGACAAAAATTGAACAGTAAGACGACGAATACAGCAAAGAAGACGTGAAACGAATACGTATAGGATGCAAATAGTAAAAGTCGAAAACTTATTCTCTATGCGCAGTTTCAGGCAAAATAGTAGGTGGTGGATCTCTTATCGGAAGTGATCTCTTATCGGAAGTGAATAATCACTGAGATTATTTCTAATCTTCTAGTTTGCGGTACCTCTCAAAAATAATTAAAGTGAATATTGACGTCCGCTAAGACATACCCCAGTATACCTTAATTGTTTTTTAAGGGCAATGATTCACATTTTTGGTAAAATTCAGCCATTTTGAATCTTGTAAAATTTTCAAAATGGCGTCCTTGATTTTTTTTTAATAAATTGTAACACGGAAACTGCATTTTTGATCGAAAAGACAACTGTGACAAAGTTATAGAGATAAATCTAGATAGAGCTGGAATTAGGGCCTAACAGCTTTTGTAAACAATGACTTCTATCGATGATTTCTAGAAATTCAAGGCTCGCTCACGGAAGCCAACATCCTCATCGGGTAGGGAAAGACTTCCCCTATCCGATGGTTGTATTCGTCTGCGTGAGCGTGCCTTGAGTTCCTAGAAATCATCGATAGAAGTCGTTGTTTAGAAAAGCTGTTACGCCCTAATTCCAGCTCTATCTAGAAATAATGTATTTCTGTGAAAAACAAACAAAGTAATTTTAAGTAAAAATTTAAAAAAATGTAATAAACCCAAATATATCAAAATGTTCTTGCCGAATTTTAATTTTTTTTTAACATAGAAAAGCTAATGCAAAATGCAAACTTTTAGACTGTTCAAAACCTTGGATACTTGGAAACTGACAAAACTCGTAACACAAGACCTTTTGGTCAAATTTTTGAACTTATTGTTAGTACGTTTTGTTGTGTATGTTTTCTCAGAAAATGATTCAAAATGTCTCAAACATTGTTTTCTGTGTATAAATTACATGAAAAAACGTTTTAACAAATGTTCTTGTTCTACGATTTTTGTCATTTTATAAGTGCCCATTATTCTAAATACTCCAAAAGTTTGCATTTTTCACGGTTTATTTTTTTTTTTCAGAAATCGTTCAAGGTCGTTTTGGGATATTTATGTTTTAAACATTGTATGGAGTTTGTACAAAAATTTACTAAATCCAATTGCTTGTAAAATTTTCCTATAAAAATTTTATTTTCCCCTACAACTTTGTCTTAGACGTCATTTCAATCAGAAGTGCCGAAGAATAAATCTAAAATTTCAGATTTTACTAAATAATCCAGTTTTTGACTTTTCAAAGCCTGGGCTATCGAGGATTTTAGAACTTCAGAGAATTTCCATAAGAATTTTGATCAAAATATGATTGAGAATTTTGAAAGAAAGTTAAAAATTTGAAGGGAATTCTAGAATTATTTTTAAAAGGACAGACAATAGTTAATAAGGAATTTGAAGAAGAATTCCTAAGGAATTCTTATATTAACTCTCAAGGAATTGAAAAGAATTCCAAAAGAGTGAATTTCAAGGGAGTTCTGACTAGAACTATGAAATAGTTATCAGAAAAAACGCATGGTGGATTATAAGGATAATTCTGAGAAAATTCTGAGTATACATCTAAAACAATAATGAGAAGAATTCCATGGGAATTAAAGAGACAATTTAAAGGCTGACTAAAAGTAAATTGGTCCACCCCTCGCGTGCCGCTAGCACGTCAATCTTTGACAGTGGTTTATTTACACTTCTATAGAGAACAACTGGTGCAAGTTTGATCAAAGTATTTAGTCGATTGCGTTCAGAAATAACGTCAAATGGAACTCGAAAGAAGAAAAAATATTCACCCCTATTCTGTATTTCGTTTCGAACGAAATTCTCATACAAAAAAATATTTTTGTATGAGAATTTCGTTCGAAACGAAATACAGAATAGGGTTGAATGTACACAAACACCTGGAAAATTCGGAATGGTCCGGTTACAAGCTGGCTAAAGTGCTGAAGATGCCGAAAACAATAGTTTGTCGAGTGCTCAAAACCTACAAGGAAACCTTGAGTGTGCAAAGGAAAAGTGTTGAGGTGCGTTAAAGCCAACCCCGGTTTTTCGATCCGAGATGAGGCCAGAAGGTACAACGCCAACTTTCAAACGGTGCGGAGCATCCTTGACAGGGAAGGCCAGTAAACATCCGAACCGGCACATGAAGCAGAATTCCGTGGCCAAAAAGCGTGCAAGGCTCTTGTACGACTGTGTTCTGACGAAACACAAGGGCTGCACATTGATCGATGACGAAACATACGTCAAACTCGATTTTAAGCAGCTTCCCGGTCAAAATTTTTATTTATAGTTGTGGCCTGAAAACGAAACCATTCGTCACATCCTCGACAATGACATCCCAAGTTTACATCGAAGAATGCCTGAAAAAGCGTGTAAAGGGCGAACACGAAATTATTGCGACACCGAAAATGTCATGCCAATTTTCTTATAATGTTTAGAATCGAACCAAAATTTTAGGGTAGTTTTATACATATATTTACTTCAAAATTCAAAAGAAAAGTTAATCGATGGAGCCTTGAGTGTAAAATTGAACGCATTTTTGCTTGATGCCCTCCATCAAAGTCTTTACAGTGTCATCCGGTACCAGTTTCTCAGTTTTTTTTTCCATTTTCTTAACATGTCCTTCTCGTCTTTGACTGTTTTCTTGTTCTTCCGAAGTTCCCGCTTCATTATTGCCCAGTACTGCTCCACCGGGCGCAGCTCCGGACAGTTTGGCGGATTCATGTGCTTTGGAACAAAATGGACAGAATTGGCCTCATACCACTCCAGGACACTTTTAGAATAGTGGCATGATGCCAAATCTGGCCAAAATAGCGGAGCTTCGTCGTGCTGCTACAAGAACGGCAAATGGTGCTTCTCGAGGCACTCAGATTTGTAGATCTCGCCATTTACTGTGCCCTTTGTCACGAAAGGCTCACTCCTCAGTCCGCAAGAGCAGATGGCCTGCCAAATGAGATATTTGGAGGCGAACTTCGACATTTTCTTCTTCTTAAATTTGTCGTCCACATCGAACTTGCTCATGCCGGTGAAAAACTCCAAACCCGGAATTTGCTTAAAATCGGCTTTTATATACGTTTCGTCGTCCATCACACAGCAGCCATATTTTGTCAGCATCTTCTCGTAGAGCTTCCGTGCCCGAGTTTTAGCCGTCGATTGTTCTGTACCTTGTATGTATGTAGTCCAGCTCTCTTCTTTGCATTCTGGACGTAGCTCTGCGACATGCCGATCTTTTTAGCCAAATCACGGCTTGAGACGTTGGGATTTGCTTTAATCATCCGCTTCACCTTTCCCTCCGTCTTTTTGTTCTCCGGTCCCGGTTTTCTTCCAGCTCCTTTGCCGTGGTCCAACGTCAACCGCTCCTGGAACCGCTTCAACACTCTGGAGACGGTTGAATGGTGAATGTTCAACATTTTTCCCAACTGCCGGTGCGACAGGTCAGGAAATTCCAGGTGTTTGGAAAGAATTTGTTCTCTCAACTCGCGTTGGTTCACCTCCATTTTCGTTGAATCAATGAGAAAGTGTGCAAAATTTGGTTGATTTTTACCCAATGGTAAAAAAGTTATGTTGAATGTGTCGCAATAATTTCGTGTTCGCCCTTTTTTGCCGTTCATCCGCAAGCATAGGGGCAAAGTCATCGTTTGGCCCGATTTGGCCAGCTGCCACTACTCCAAGGTGGTTCTGGAGTGGTATGCTGCCAACAAGATCGATTTTGTCCCCAAGCTAATGAATCCTCCGAATTCCCCGGAATTTCGACCAATCGAAAAATACTGGCCAATTTCAAAGCAGCAACTTCGACGAAGCGGCGGGGCAGTCAAGGACATCCATCAAATGCGGGCAGTATTGAAGAAATGCGCTGATTCCGTGTCCGTTTTCACTGTGTGAGCGCTGATGGGCTCCATCAAGGGAACGCTGAAGAAAATTCAAAAGGTTTTTGAAGACAATTCCAAAGAAACTCTAAGGATTATTCCAAGATAGTTCTAAAATGGGAATTTCAAAAAAAAATCTGGAACCATTCCATAAGGAAATTTTAGGGGACTACTCCGATACACCGCATGAGTAAGAGAGGACTTATCGAAGTGTAGCTGCTAGCTACCTGTAGGTTGCTCATAACGGATGGCCATTATATATAATGCTTCGTTGAGAGTGTAAATAACGGGATTAGTTTGATTGCAGTTTTGAGATTGGGCGACTGATTTTCGTATGTTGGTAAGTATTAACAATTATTTATATGACAATGAAGACAAACAAATTGATTATATTTTACTACCTTGATTATTTGAACCAGTGTGGATCAGTCTGTTTCTGTTTAATCTGACATCGAATTACAACAACAAGTAGTAGATCAGAATAATTTGCTTAATCAGATCGAGTCCGATTCTGATGTCCGGGAAGGAGAACACGATCCTCAGTTGGGTTTGGCTGACAAGCTTATTGGTGGTGGCAGTGTGTGTAGTGTATCCCTTCGTTGGCTTGAACTGCATGGAATCACCAAAACCTTGCAACCTTATTGTTGCCCAAAATTCAAACAGTTGGACTACAGTGCGCAACACGGACAATATAATATTAAAATAATTGTTATGTCATTAAAATTCATATACGAACGGCTTTTGATTTTTTGTTTCAGTTACCTAAATTATACCCTGATCTACCAGAAGAATTAAAAAAAAAATACTCGAAGGAATAGAATTTTTGATCATCTGGAGATCTTTTGAATAACCCCACTTTTTATCAGTTGGAGATCTTCAAACTTGCTAATCGTCATGAAGTCATACGGTTATTTGAATAATCTCTGATTCAGTAGAAGGTCTTCTGAATAGTTAATCAATCTGAATCCTTGT